TTTTTCTTAAACAGATGAGGCAAAGGGTGCTGATGTGCCCTGGCAGAGCTCTCCTGCCCTGTTCCCTAACCACTGGGCATTGCTGTGCATCAAGGTGCTGTGTCCCTCCCTGCCCCTCACGGGGCCACCACATGGTGATGAAGGTGGTCCAGGTGACCAGCCAGCCCCCAGAGCTGAGGCAAAGCTGGTGCTTTCCCCATGTACCTCCATGTCTGACCACAACGAACATTCAGCCTCTCCCCAGAGCTGCTCTCCTCCGGTGGGGGCCCAGGCCTGCGATGTGGGGGCTGCTCATGCCAGGTGCTGTCCTGCAGGTGGTGGGGATGACAAAATACCCCACAGTGATGGTGTTAGCTTCTGGAGAGCCCAGGAGAGAGGCTGCATTTCCAGCTGATGCTGTTGTGATTTCAGCAGCCAGATTTTCCAGCAATAGGGAATGGACCGTGCTGATTCCTGAGTCTTCTACAGCTGGAGACTGGAGTGGGGGGACATAGAGCAGGGCCTGGGCTAAAAAACAGCCTGTTGGGAAGGCTGCTTGCCTTGTGTGGTCCCAGCTGCTCTGGATTTCAGTCAGTCTTTTTGCAGTCTTGTGGTGCTTCCTGCCCCTTCTGTTTGTCCTGCAGCTCGTCTGGGCTGTGATGGTGACAGATCTGCCCACCCTGCTCCTAGCTGAGACCAGCACTGCAGCAGGGGCAGCTGTGGTCTCCTCTGTGAGATGGTCAGATCCCACTGGAAAACCTTCCTCAGGACACTGCCTGCTCTGGTCCTGCTCTGGAGCATGAGGCAGTGGGGTTTCACAGCCGGGGAGGAGCTGTGGGCAGTTGTTAGGACAGCAGATGTACCTGCACTGCAGAGCAGGAGGAAGCCATGTGGCTTAGCAGCAAATGTGGGGTGGTGCAGCAGTAAGTCCTGGTACACATTTTGCCCTGACCTGACAGAGGTAGCTGTGCTTGGTCAGTGACATGTCAATCTGGGATAAAACCTGCCTGGTTTGGGTGAGTTCCTTCTGTTCACTGAGCACCTCTTGTACCTCATTTAGGAGGGAATAAAGCTGGCGGAGCAGGGTGAGCACCAGGCTGGGCTCATACCTTCTCTTGCACTTTGTACAATCAGATACTTTCCTGCAGCCCTGGGCTGTCAGAGCGATGTGCATGGCTTATGCCCCAGCTCCATCTTCCATTTGGTGCCAAATGTTTCTGTACAAGTGATCCTGCAGCAGTGCTTAGGGGCCCTGTAGCATCATCCCCTTTTCCTGTGGAGATGCTGGGACATATGGATGAAATCATGTCCCTGGGCTGGTCAGCAGGTGTGGAGGAACTGAGTGGTGGGAGCCAGTAACAACGCTGATATACTGCATATCCAGTGCTTGCTGCTCCGTGGACAAATTCCCTTTCTCCAAAATGCCTGTCCTTGCATGGAGGTGATTTCCTGCCTTGGCAGATCTTTGTTTCACAGTCTCTTTCTAATCCATGAACGTGATCTGTTCAGGGCTTGGTGACAGGGTATATGTGTGACACTCCTCACCCAGGACACACGTACACAGTGACTCATGTTCACCTTGCAGAGTTTGGGGAGTGCTGGTGGGCAATAGCCAGACTGTGTCTGCAGCGAGCTCTTATGCATGCTCAGGGCCCTGGCTGCATGAAACACGAGCTGCTGATACGCTGCAACAACAGGGCTTCACAAGGCCAGAAGACATCAAGGCGAAGGCTCAGGCTTGAGTGGGCTTTGGAGCTGGTCTCGTGCAGCTGTTGCTGCCTGCTGTAGGCTGGCTCTAGTCTGATACAGCAGGTTTGCCTGGATGAGCACAGGTCGGACACAGTCAGGTTTTACCACATGTGCAGGGACTGCTGTGTGGCACCTATAATCTCCACATTCCCCCACAGCCCTTGCTGCCCTCCTGTACTGCAGCAGCTCCTGCAGCCCAGCTGCACAAGGTGCTGGTACAGTCCCATCAGGTCTAACTGGCACCTCACTCCTTCACAGCACTGCAGTTGTGGACCCTGCTCTGTGGCATCTGTGTTATAGCTGCTCTGATTGCCTCAGTCACCACCTTTCACTCTCATTTTCCCCTTGCTGCTCCCAAAGGAGACTGCGTCACAGTAAATTGAGCAAAGCTGTGTGGGTAGTTACTTTTGTTGTACCAACTGATAGAGAATGCAGAAAAAATAGACGAGCCGTTGAGTGCACCAGCCCTTTTTCAGAGCACTGTAGTGTGACACAGCAAGGCAAGTTGCATCCTTGGATGATGGTGGTGCTTTCTCTTCAGCATCTGCCTGTGCCAGAGGTGCAGTGCTGGGGTGTTCTAATGAGGCAGGGCTCTGTCTCAGAGCTCCATCTCCCCTCAAGCCCAGGGCATGGACAGGCCAGTCACATCAGGAACCACCTGCAAACATCTTTGGTTTGGGGACACCTTGGGAGCAGGGCTGGGTGCTGCAGAGGGGAGGGAAAGGGCCATCCCTGGATGGTGATGTGTTGGCATTGCAGGGGACTGAGAGTGCCTGTGGAGGGCAGGAGGTACCCACTGGTTACGGGACACTGCGAAGCTCCTGCTGAGCACCCTGCTGCGAAGGACTGCCACGGGCTGGTGGCTGGAGGGTGCAGAGCTGTGCTAGGGGGAGGCCAGCCCTTGATTGCAGCCGGCTGCATAATGCAGTGTCTTTGCACCCTGTGACGGGTGTTATGGACAGGAGGGGCTTTATGCCCGGTGACTCTGGCAGCCTTTTGCTGTAACGGTCTGCTGTCCTTCCGCAGAAGGCACCAGCTGTGCCGCAGCCGAGTCTCACTGCACCAGCTCTCTTGGGAAATGCCTCCTGGTAGGTGACTTCGGCAGCCACCCTCACGTGTTTTCCCGTGGCTGCTGTTTCTGAGGCAGCCCTGGCACAGAGGCAGCGCTCTCAGCACCATCAGCAGCTCCCAGCCCGTGCTGCAGGGCAGAAATCGTTGTCACAGCGATGGAGCTGCATGGTGGAAGGAGAAGCAACTTTCCTTATATTGCTTCTGTGATGGGACAGCTGCTGGGGAGCGCTGGCATATCCTGTCTTTCATTCTCTCTGGTAGCAGCAGATCCAGCTGGCCCCCAGCCTGCTACTACCACAGCGCATCCTTGGCATGGTGTGGCTCAGGCTCCTGGCTTCCTGTGCACCTGGTGACAGAGGGCTGGAGGCAAAAGGTCTGAGTGTAAGAGCACAGGGAAACCTCTCTGCTCCCCCCATCAGAGAGGAGAGAGGGTCAGTGATGCCTCCCCACCGGGGCAGAGGGTGGTGGGGTGAGCTGTGTGTGCGTCGGTGAGCCTAGAGAAAATGGCCTGGCCTCGTGCAAAGGTGGGTGGAGGGTCACAACGCTCAGCTCTTGCCCCACTGCTTTGACCCCCTCCCTGAAGCCCAGCTGCAGCAAAGCGAGCAATGTGGGGAGCTGGAGTCCCTGAGCCCCCTGTGTCATTTACATATGCCTCACCGGTGCCAGCAACACAGCAACCTGGGTTTGTATAGCACCGCAGATCCTCTCTGAAACAGTCTCCCTTCCTCTGCTTCCTGCCATGGCCCTGGGCTTCGTGGTCCTGCTCCTGCTGGGGACAGTGGGGACAGGTAAGGGTGGTGTGGCTGAGCTAGCTACTGTCTGGGGGGGGGGCACTGTGGGGTGGCAGGCAGGACTGGGCTGCACAAGGGGGATGTTAGTCTCAGTAGGGCATTTTGCTCCAGGGCTGTGTGGTGTGATGAACAGGATGGAGGTTGGGCAATGGAGTTGCCTCAAGGGAGCAGAAGGTCATTTTAGGGCTGGGGGAGATGGGGGTCATGGCTCAGCCCATCAGTGACTGCATCCTTGGTGTGTGCAGCTTGCAGGGCTCAACCCGTGCTGACCCAGCCATCCGCTGTGTTGGTGCTGCCCGGGCAGACTGCCCGGCTGTCGTGCACCCTGAGCCCCCAGTACAATATCAGCGAGTTCGGCATCTCCTGGTACCAGCAGCGCCCGGGGCACTCCCTGACGTATCTGCTCTATTACAACTCTGAGCGAGACAAGCACAAGCCTGCCAAGATTCCCGACCGCTTCTCTGCTACCAAAGACCTCGCCAGCAATGCCTGCATCCTAATCATCACATCCGCTTGCCATGAAGATAATGGCAACTATTACTGCTCCCTGTCTCGTGCCTTCAACTGGTTTTAGAAACAGGAAAAAAAAGTTTTCTGCATTTTCCCTTGCAACCCTGATGCAAAGCCCTCATCAGGGAGAACGGCAGCCTTAGGAGAAATGGAAAAAGACTCTCTTGCGTGCTTGATCAAGCCCAGCAGCACTGCACTGTGCTGTGAGGTGCAGCAACCTCCTCTTCGACCCCAAACATCCCCCACGGAGCATTAGGCAACCTGACGTGGTGTGAGATCTGCCAGGGCTCAGCCCAGGGACAGCGAGGAGCAGGGATCTCCTGCTGCGGTGGGAGGATGGAGGGCTCTGCTGTGGCCTGACTTTCGTGGGCTCTTCCAGCACTTGGCGCGATATGGGTCCAGTTGGTCCCAGCTTGGGCTTCTGCACGGTTTGGCTCACCTCAGAATAAAGGTTAATCCTCAGCTGTGCGGTTCGTGTCATGTGTGTGGAGTCCAGAAGAGCCCCTTGGGCGTCTCTCTGCGGGGTGGCGCCGCACCCTGGGCTACCCAGGTAGGGGGTGAGCCAAAGGCGCCAGGTGCGGTGGGATCTCCGGGGCCTGGATGGGGCTGGGTCACCCGCCCCCGGCAGAGACCCCCACCCGCACCGCCCTGCCCCGGGGAGGCCT